GAGGTGCAAACCCAGCCTGAACAAAGGCCTTGGTACCACAGAGCAAGGAACTGCAGAAGGACTTCCAGACTAAGGAGTGCTCTGAACAGAAATAGATTATGTCCTAAAAAGGGCATTTTGCTTCCAGAAGGAATGTGTACCTTTAATTGAGAATTATTTGGTAGACCTAGAAACTCATTTAGGTAAATAATGTACTGCATTTAATAGGCATGTGCATTTATGAATATATGTAAATCAAGACATTTACAGGCAAATGAGGTAAAGCTATTCACATCACCTTGCTAAGAAATTAGGGATTGCTGTGAAAATAATTTTTTAAGGTAAAAAAAATTCATGCACAAAATATATACAGACTGGCAACAGATGCAGGACCTTTCATCTTCTAGCCTCAGCTGATTTCCAGAATGTATCCTGTTCAACTGAAATCTGAGGTGCATTTAAATTTTGAAAAGAGTTGGATTTTGTTGTGATGAGTATTTAAGGGCATCAAAAAGCTGTTTGTATTTTCACTGCTACTGGTAGCCTATTACCTGTGCTTGACTAGGCAATCCACACATCTCTGTTGGTGGTATCAACAACCTGTTGATAGAATGACAGAAGAATTATTCATTGTGGCTGGAAGGAGTAGCTGGAAAATGAGGAACCAGAGCTCCTGGTGGCTGCAGCAAGAAGCCAAGGATTTGAATCAGGGAAGGAACATTTGGGTTTTAACCATGGTATACCAGAAGTGAAATAGATGCATTTGGGTTATACTGGGGTTTTTGCATTATGTATGTCTCTCTTCTACCTGCCTCTTGTCTTATTTTATAGAATCTTTATTTGGAAAGCACAGAGTGTAATTTAGGATGCTGTCAGAATGTGACAAAGCTGGTGTGAAAACAGGTGCTGAAATTCGTCCTGGTTTACCTCAGATGTGAAAGCATAAAGCCTGTGCTGCAATTAAAGGTAGGTCAGTGGGAATTCACAAATAGCTCTGCAATGGCATCTGTTCTCAACAGCCAAATTACTTTCTGAATGTGTGAATTCAGACCTGTAGCTGCCAATAAAGTGCCTTTGACAAACGTCAGAAAAAGCACGGGATAAGTTTCACTCTAAATAAGACGGTATCATTCAATACAAAAGCCTGTTCAATTTCTGTTTGCTTTTGTTTTTATTTTGGAAGTGAATGAAGTAGAAAGGATGAAGGGGTATTCCTATGGACATGCAAACCACTAAAGGCATTGTGAAAAGTGTCATCATGCACCCAATAAAAGCTAGTTCAGTCAGCTGCCTGACAAATACGTGCTAGAAGTGACAGGAACCTGAGGAATTGATCATGGCTCTGCAGACTGCATGGCTGTGCCTGCCGTGGCCCTCCCCCTGGGCCTTGTGTGGGCATTTCGAGCCTCACAGCATTGGGTGAAGCTGCTTAACAGCTGGAACTGAATTTACTGAAGCTCTTTGGTTGTGTATTTCCTATTACCTACATGTTTTCAATGACCTTGAAGAGAGTGCTGCCAAACAGCATTCTTTCCACTTACAACACAAAAAGCTCTAAGAGGGGGAATAGCAGTTTATTTCATAAAGACATCAAAACCCAGTTCTGAACAGGCTGGCAAAACTGTAGTGACAAGTCATGGTATTTTTAAAAACAATTTGTTTTAATGAGAAAAGGTGAATAGAGAAAAATGGGGGGTGTTGTGGTTGTTTGTTTGGTTTTTTAATATACTAGAACAATTATCATGAAGGAGAACATCAAAATAAACCAGCCTTCCAGAATTATAATGTTTTCCAGTAATCAGTGTGAGTAGGTAACTTCATTGGTATTTGATGGACAGATGTTACACACTCATATTTTAACATTAATGTGCAACAAATCAATTTTTTCCCTACAATTGTACATCTATGGCAAAGAAGTGTAAGTGTATTAGTAGTAAAAGACTGATCTTATTTTCCTGACCCAAAAATAATCTGTAAACAAGCAATCTAATACAACACTATGAAAGCTCAGACCATAATGCCTAAGGCATTGGATTAGAGATCAAGTTCCTTAAATTGTATTTCTGCCTGTGATTACATAGTTTATGAACTGTGGTGACATTTTCAAGCATCTCTGAGTTTTCTGAGGGAAATGTGTCTTTCACAAGTGTTTAGAAAAGCCAATTTTCTAAAATTACTGGCATGCAAAATCAAGCTGAAATTTGCTAGAGGTCCTTACATTAGAAACAGCCAGGAGTCAATCATGCCAAACCTCTTTATTCTGTGGCCTCAGCAGCAGAAACTTCAGCTCCTTTTTAAGCCTGTCTGACAGTGTTTCGGACTGTGCATAATCCATTATGGCATATATTATCCTTGTCCCAGGGAAATTTGGCAGGGACAACCTCCTCCAGTATAAGAGAAGAATACTCCTACATGAAAGCAAATATGTTTGTATTGTTCTCTACAAAGGTTTTCCCATTTATTTGAATCAGTCTATCAGTAGTTTTAAAGATTAATATCCACATTAATGAAAAAAGTGCACTGAAGATGCCTGAGCTAATAAAATTATTTGGATTAATTTTTTTTTTGAAACAACCATCTGTTCTTCAGATATTTATATATGTTACATAATTGTGTTAATAATTGCTGTATAGCCACTACATATAAATTGATGACAAAAATACATATTTGTAACATTTACACCATTTTATGTCCAGAAAGAAATGGAATTTTCTTTAGTAATCATGTACCAAACTTAAAAACACAGTGTATTTGAAATATTCTTATGTCTGCCCCCTGCAAAAATTGAGGAGCAGTTGATCCTACCCATGGCATGGGACTTACCTTTGCTTGAGAACTAACCAGGGCAGGTGCCATTATTCACCTTGAGTGATTCACATTGCTCCTCTTGTGGGCTCACCTATAACTTTGAGCTTTGAATATTTTCTTAAACTCCTTGAGAATTATTATTAAAATGCATCAAGAAATGTAAGTGCTTTGCAAACTACACCATCATTCCACATTCTGACAAAACCTCCACAAAATGCTGCAAAATCAGTTTTCCATAAACATTTGCCTCACTCTGGCTGCTTATATTCTGTAAATGTAACTGCTTGTGCAAAGCATGGTGCAATGGAGAAAGAGGGCAATAGTGTTCCTCACTGATTGGTCATTTCGGTACCCTTTAGGTTTAACTTCTCCATGCTAAAATCTCTATAACCAAATCCATAATAAAATACCAGTATTGTCTGTGGGTACTGGAGCTCATCTTGTACCATTTGTTAGTGGTATTTCTGCTGTCCCATTAATTTGCCTATTAAGGAGCATTGCCCAGTTCTGCAATGCAGTGGTTAAACTTCTTCCTGCTATAGCTGCTTCTGTTAGGTCTATAAAGAATCTGCAGTAAAGAAATGTAGGAATTTTAAGAGGGAACAACAAATTATCATGACAAAGAAAATCGTGCAAGGGTGCCTACCTTGTCTGTCTTTCCACAGTTCTGTTCCTGATGAAGTGTTTGCTACCATATTCTTCAGGTGATTCACCTTTTACATTAAAATTCTAACAACATTTTCTAGGACTAACACGGTGCTATTCGTATTCTAAAATCAATATCAGCTTTTTTCAAGAAACTATGTTTCTTGAACATCTCCAGGGATGGTGACTCCACCACCTCCCTGGGCAGCCTATTCCAAGTCCATTTTCTGACAGAAATTTGGTACTCCTCATTTCTGATATTCATCTCCCACTGAGTTACAAGGCAGTCACTGTGGGATGTACACAAGACCCTCCCTTACTGCAGATGTGAGCAGAAAAAACTTTCACCTGTCCAACTCACTGAAGTGAGCTGGGAGATACCCCAAGGGCTGCAGAGATGAAAAGTGTAAAAATACTGAGAAAAGAGTGGTGGGTGGTTGTTTTTTGGTTTTTGTGGGTTTTTTTGGTTTTTTTTGTTTTTTTGTTTTTTTAATATGAGATAGGCACAGAATGCTATCCATACACTAGTCCCATTGTGCTGCTTTGGGCTGGGGTAGAGTTAATTCCCCTCACAGTGGCTGGTATGGGGCTGTGTGTTGGGTTAGTGCTGAACACAGGGTTGATAATACAGAGATGTTTTTGTTATTGCTGAGCAGGGCTTGCATGGAGCCAAGGCTTTTTCTGCTTTTCATAAGGCCACGCTGGTGAGGGGCCGGGAGTGCATGGGAGGAAACACAGCTGGGACAGGTAACCCCAAATGACAAAAGGGATATTCTGTCTTCGACACACGAGGTACAACAACATCTCTGTATTATCAACCCTGTGTTCAGCACTGATCCAATACACGGCTCCTGTGAAGAGAATGAACTCTACTCCAAGCAGAACCAGCACCCCCATCCACCTTATTCCAGCAGAGACAAGAGGAGCGGTGGAGCTGGCGGAGGGCCTGGGGCAGGGGAGCTGTGAGGGGGAGCTGCGGGAGCCGGGGGTGTCCAGCCGGGTAAAGGGGCTCGGGTGCCTCCATCGCCCTCTCCGGCTCCCGGGCAGGAGGGCGCGGTCGGCTGGGGCTCGGTCTCTCTTGCCAGGCAGCCTGCGACAGGAGGAGAGGACACAGCTGTGCCAGGGAAGGGCTGGGTGGGACATAAGAAAGAATTTCTTCACACAAAGGGTGAGTAGGCATTGGAATGGAGTGCTGGTGGAGTTACGGTCCCTGGGGGGGTTAAGGAAAGGCTGGATGTGGCACTCAGTGCCATGGTCTAGCTGACAGGGTGGTGTTCCGTAACAGGTTGGATTCGACACCCTCAGAGGTCTTTTCCAAACTAACTGATTCCGTGATCCTGTGATTGATCCTGTGATCTCTGAGCGGCCGAACCATCTTTATAGAGGCTGCGGGGTAACACACGGAGCCATGCCGCGGGGCTGAGGGCTAGTGTGTAAGCGCTTTCAGCACTCCGGCACCACGCTTGTCCCACACGAACCCTGAGGCGCCATTCCCCAGGGAGCGCTGGGACCCCTCCGCTTCCCGGGCGGTGCCTGCAGCGGGGCGGGGCGGGGCGGCCCGCGTGACGTCACGCCGCGGTGACGCCATCGCCCCGTCGCCGCGCGCCCGGCGCCGCCATGTTCAAGGTGAGGAAGGGTCCCCGCGCGGGCCGGGCCCGCAGCGCTCGGGGCTCCCGCGCCGCTCCGCTCCGTGCGCTCCGCTCCGCTCCGCGCGCTGCTGGGGCCGCGCTCCTTGCAGCTGCTTCACCGCTCCTCTTAGCGCTTCGGCACCGCGTGCCCTCCGTGCTGCATGAACTGAGGCACAGTCCTCACTTAGAGTCGCTTCTGGGGTGCACCCAGAGTGCGGAGCGGTGCGTGCAGATCGCATTCCCTCTTCGCAGTGTGCTGCCGCAGAGTTTGGCTTCGGGCAGTTGTCGCTTCAAAGTGTCAGCTCGGTCTTGAAAAGTCTCCGTTTTAGCGCCTGAAGGTTGTCTGTGGGACCTGCGGAAAGCACGGTCCGGCTCTCGCTGCCTCAGAGGTCTTTGCCTCTGATTAGAGCGGCCCCAGATCAGGCTAAAAGCGAGCTCTGTGCCGGTCAGATCGCTGTTACGGCTGCTTGCTTAAAAAAACCCAAAACAAACCACCAAAACCTGGTGATGCTCGGTTCTTGGTATTCATTTTCCTTGGTACCATTTTCTGTGTGGAATACTGATAATATCTCTAGGTACCAATATACTGAGTGTACGAAATACACATAATTGAAACTCATAATCTCAACATGAAGAACTTCTTTACATTGAACGTGGCAGAGCACTGGAACAGCTGCCCAGGAGGCATCCCAAGCCACCCACCTGGACATGTTCCTGTGTCACTGCTCCAGGTGACCCTGCCCTGGCACGGGGGCTGCACTGGATGAGCTCCAGAGGTCCCTTCCAACCCTGACAATTCTGTGAGTCTGTGGTGCTGATGTGCTGAGCCCTTGCTTGCTCTGCTCTTGTCACTAATTCCTTGGTTTTTTTGTGCTTTAATGGTGGAATTCTGTGCATGAAATCATTGAGAATTCCATAATTGTCATTAGAGGGTTTATCTGTGGGCCTGTGCATTTAGGCACTAAGTACGTTAGTACCTTTATGCTGCTAATGAGGATTTAGGTGCTTCAGGCCCACCTGATGTTGTGCCTCCAAGAGCCAAAGGGAAGGTGGCTTTTTGTCCAGGATATTTGTGCTTCAGGGACAGGAGTGTTCAAGAGTTTGGATTTTGGTTTTACGTTTTTATAGTTTGGGTCGAGAAATAGGAGGGAGAATTGAAAAAGATGAGAAAAATGAAGTGTTTTCATGCTTTAGGACCAGTATCAACCTTCTCAAAAGTATGCTCAAGCTTTTCCTATCTGGTGTCTAAAGATAAAGTTGAATTCTTAGCTAGAGAGGAGTAAATGTATCTTTTTTGCTTAGAATAACTGCAGAGCATTGCCAATGGAAAAGAATGTTGGCTCTGGTTTTCTGATACTGAGTGGCTGTAAGACTGGCAGCCTGAAGGCACAGCTCAATCAGTCAAAATGCTTTACTAATGCAATTGGTTTAGTAATATGTGATTAGTATGGAATTCAAAAATGAGATCCTAAAGGGAGTTTTGGAAACAAAAAGTACAGCAGTTGATCCTTCATACTCCCAAACACTTCTGTGTATGCAAACAGGCAGTGTTTCAGCAGCAGTTCTGTCTGTCCCATAAGGCAGCTGATGTAGGAGACCATTGCAGTATGACTTGAACAGCACATTTAAGAAGAGATTCAACTTGCACTTTCAGAGGTTAGTTTCATTTTGTTAAAAATTAAAAACAATGGAAAATGTCTGCACTTCATTATCTTGATAATATAAACAGTTAACATTTCAGTCTGAGTAGTTTTGTGATCACTGATACTGTTTTGTGGAACCCAGGTGCTTCCAGCCTTGTGCTCTGCTGTTTGTGTCTTTATATAAAAATCTGAAATATCTAAAACATTTGGTCTTACTGTTTCTACTGGTGACACTTAGCACCATTTACACTGTTTGAAAAGATATTTCTGAAAGAAAATGCATTTAGATTTTGCCTTTTCAGTAACAGAACAGTTTTGCAGTGAAAAAAGGAAAGATTGAGGAAATAAGCTCTACAGCTATTAATGGTTAGTAGCATTTGTTTTTGTCCTGGCTAATGGAAGTATGTGAGAAGTGTTTAAGCAAACACTATTAGAGATTATCCTTGTCTTTCCTTGGCTGTGAAACAGCTGATCCAGTCATTGTGGTGTTTCATTTATAGTGATTTAGTAACAAGTCCATAAATTCACACAAGGAAAAACTTCCATTTTAAGCAAGTTTTTCCATACCTTTTTGACCCATCAGATCCCTTATGTCTTCCAGAAGAAATCCTGTGACCTAGTTCTTGTGTGCTGTTTCTCTACACCTAAACCAACACTTTCAGGAAGTTTGACAACTGTATAGCCCAATTTTTAGTTTGAGGAGTCTGTTGGTTACAATTAATAAACATTCCACCTGCAGGGCAGTGGAAGAAATTTAAGCTGCAAATGCTTGACTGCCTACAGTAAGCTGCTGTGGTGTGGATAATTTTAAAGCTGTTTTCTAACAGTTCTGCAGCAGCCAGACAGAGCAGTTGTGCCGTGGCTGGGCCAGTTGCCACCATCACAGCATGGAGGAGGGGTGGTGTGACCACGGCTCCAGTGCCACAAGCAGCTGGGTCAGTGCCACAGACCCTGCAAGTTGTGAAAAGTGTGAAAAACGCCAATCACTTGATTTTAAAATTTTTAAAGTTTAATAGTAATGAAGTGGTTATAAAAATAGTAACACAATTAGAGTAATAACAGTTTGGACAAATTGAATTAAGACAGTATGAGACAATAAAAACAAAGAGTTACGGACGTCTGGGTACCTCTTTCTGGGCAGCACGAGCCGGAAAAAGGACACCCGTTAACAGAGGATTAACCCTTGAAAGCAACAGCCTGTTGCATATTCATACACCTCAAACATGATGCATAAATTCCATTCAAACACAGGATTCTGTCTGTCAGTGTCAACTTCTTTCTTCTAATCCTAACAGCGCCTCCAAGGCGGGAAGAAGTTCGTTTCTTCTGATAAGAAGGCAATAAATTCCCTTTCTCTGACAGATTCAGGTGTCCTGTGGCTGCTATCTCGCTGCCAGCCCTTTCTGTTAAACAAAGCATCTTATATAGCATAGTTTCTATTTTAACAGTTTTTATAACCTAAAACTATATTTAACACAGTACTTAAGAAAATTAATACAGCATTATTTTCTGACACAACACATACAATATTCATTTTAACATTTGCAAAAAGCCAATTATAAAATACATGCATTTTTCACAAAAGGAAGAGGCCTTGCTGCCTTCTCCTTTCTGAGCCCTGTCCCCGCAGCTCCTGTGCTGCTTGCCAGGCTGTTCCATGGAAGGAAGGGCTCTGTTTGCTGAGCCACACAAAGCTCTCCCTTCTGCAGGATGAATCTTTTTGGCCAGGTGAATTGCCTCACAATGGGAGCCTCCAGCCACCACAGCTAGGGCAAGGTGAGCAGCAGGAGTGCTGGGCAGCAGTGCTGGAGAGGAGCCAGAGCCTCCAGTTCGGTGTTAGACCCACTGGAGCTGTAACCGGATCCAGCAAAACACAGGCTGCTGTAACTCTGCACGTTTCCCTGAGCAGTAACAGGAGTACTAGACATTGAAAGCTTTCCCATTTCAACTGATATTTCTGGAGTTATACTTTGCTGCTAACAAAGATGTGCATTTGCTGGAAAAAATGCTCTCTGGGCATCTTGATTTACTCTGGAGCTAAGATTTTTTTTCTTCTGTTTTTTTTTAAGTTGAAGCAGACTTTCCCATTAAGAAATTCAGTTTAGCATAGGTCCTGAATATTAGAAGAACTATATCCATCCACCTTAGTCATGGTGGTTGTGTTGTGTGATGGGATTGAATTTAAAGTAGTCAAAAAACAGTCAAGTAATTCATGTTTCTTACAGAAAATAGGAGACACTCCTAAAATTCTTAGAAAGTATTGATTTTGTTCTGGTATTTATAGCTGCAGGTCTCCTTGTTTTCCTAAGTCTATGTGCAGATATTAAGTAGAAGTAAAACACTGAACTTCTTGGTACTAACTATGGAAAAATTGAGGTATTATGGGCATACACAAAGTTGTTTAAAATATGAATATAATTTTGCTATTTAAACTGAGAAAGTTAATACAAAAATTACTTTAAACTAGAGAAAACAAGATCTTTTTTGTGAGATGAAAACTGATGAGATTAGCATTTATTTCTACTGCCCCCTTTAGCCTTAGGTTTTTCCAATTACCACCTGAGTGATTTAGATGTTACCATGTCAGTGCCTGAGAGCATTAGACTGTGTACTGCTGACCCTCCTTTCTCCTAATTCCCAGGCATCTGTTGAGATCCCTTTTTACCATATAGGGGACATACGCATGTCTGCCTGGCTGTGTTCAGTTTTGTTTGCACACAATGATGTTCTTGTCCTTGGTGATGTTTCCAGGTAATCCGGCTGGGGGCCACCCCTGTCAGCCTGGGCTTGCTCTCTGTCCAGGTTTATGCTGCTTCCTCAGAGAAGGCTTCCAAAAAGGAGTTGCTGAAAGTTGAGGAGGTGAGTGTGGTTAGAGTCTTAGTGCTCTCCTATCTAAAGAATTCTGGAAACATTGTGTTTTGATGTATGAAAGCATTTAGGTACATCCTGTCACCTTTTGTATTCATGCCTTTAAATTTGCTTCTCAGGTTTCCTCACCAGGGATGTCTGTACAGTTTTGCTTTTACCTGAGCATGGCATTTGATGTTCTTCACTTGATAGGGCCAGGCTTTCTTGTGTGTAAAATATTTTTCCTACGTTAAAGCCTGTTAGTCTTCATTCAGAAATTATATTTTCATGTTTGTAGATTTACTTACGGTTATATTTCAAGTCCACAGGAATATTTTCTTTGCTTTTTACCCAGATAATAGCACTTACTTTTTACTGTAAATAGTGTTGGTAAATTCTAATAAAAATTCGTTTATGTTCTCCACTAAAACAGTGAACCAGAATGTTTTATTTCTAAAAATATTCTCTTTTTTAAATATCTAAAGTCTTGTCTGGCAATATTTTGAATCCACCATAGTAGCCTGCAGAATTTTTTCCGTTTTCCTTTCTTCACAGTATTCAGACCTGAGCAACAACAAATACAATAAGTAGTGGTAATACCTGTTATGTTTTCGTTTCTTTAAGATGTAACAAATGTCTTGGTTGTAAGTAGAGCCTTAAAATATCCTGTCAAACTGTAGACTCAGCAGCATTGTTACCCAGGCTTTTAAAAGTCTCCAACACTAAAAAACCAAAATAAGTAGTTCATAACTAAATCCAGCTTTACAGGCATGAGAGCATGCAGTTGTTTAAAAGTTTTGAGTACTTCAACCCAAGCTGAAGTGATGTACCATAAGCCCTGGAACTGAACCAGGCTGTGTTGTGCACACCCAGGTGCTGTGGCTGGCAGTTCCCTTGAGCAGAGAGAGGAGCTGCAGTTGCAGGGGGTCCTGGGAGCCTCAGCTGGGCCCAGCCGCTGCTGGCCTGAGTCAGCCCTGAGGCAGCAGCATGGAGCTCATGTCAGTGAGTAATGGGCTTGCCAGTAGCTCCAGCTCAGCAGAATGTGCAAGCCTGGACTTCTGGCTGCCTTTCTTGCCATTCACAGGCTCTTAGTTTGGATCTCTATGTGTCAGCTGTCTAGTTTCATAAAATATATGGGAATTTCCTTATTTCTGTCCTCGTGCCAGGCATTGCTGTTGGGTTGTCCAACAGGATCAAAGTTCAGCTTGTGGCTGTGATTGCCAGGGATGACCTGGTTTCCTAGGGAAGTGAGGCTGAAAATCCTCATCTTTCGAAGTATTATGGGAAATCCAGCTGCTCAAGTTACCAAATTATTGGATAAATTTGTTGTAATTTTGTATTATGTTATGGTTAGCAGCTTTTTAAACTACAACATAGCTGATCTTGAAAAGAGAGCTGGCTACATTTTAATGCAGCAATGCTTGTAATCATCAGATTATAATAAACTACTAAATGGAGTATAAATATGGTGTAAAATATAAGCTCTTTATACTGAACATCTGTGTAGTATATAAGCTGCTAGAAATTTTAATAGGTTTTGTTTTGAGCTTTGCTGTTCAACAGTACGAACTTGGATTTTTTAAATGGAATACAGTTTCAAATATGCTTAGATAATTGTAGTACATGTTGCGGTGATTGTAAACCCTAACCAGGGTGGTTTGGCCTTTATTATGTGAAGGTGCCCATTGCTCATTACAGTTCCTCTTTGCTCAGTGCCAGGGTACATTAACACTGCCAGTTGCTGATGTGGTTATGACCACAGGTTGGGATGTTGGGCCCTTTTCCTGCTCAGTCACAAACAGGCACATGTGTGTTGGATGTTACCTTTGTTAGAAGCTGCTTAGGCTCTTTAATGATGCCTTGTGCATATATAGAAAATGATTGATTGTCATTTCTAGTGCATTCAGTATGTTAACTGGGAACCAGAAGTGCTGATTAAGGTGGGAAACATTTTTCACAATTATGTTGTGTGTTCTTATTAAACTAGTTTAATATTAATTTGTAACTTGTGACTTGGATCATATAGCAGCTATGAATGAATTGTATAGCAGTTAGAAGTCATCTTCATCATAATTATGTGCTGTATAATTAAACTTTGCTCATAATGGTTGTCTCAGAGCTGTGTGAATTTTTATTATGCATTGTTTATATAGTAAGCACAGTGTTAGTTGTTCTCTGCTTAGACTGTTCATGCCCTGAAGACCTACTTACACAATTCCACCTTTGTTTTTAACATCTTGTTTGCTGATATTCACAGCTGTCACTGTACTCCTCCCCAGCTCGTGAGACGAAATATGTGGAGAGTCCCAAAACAGAATTGGAGGAGGGGGTTTCCCGTTTGCGGCAGGTTTTGGAGCCATACACAGCCTGGTGTCAGGTACAATGGTTTGTATTGCACCCCTGATGCTTCAGGGGTAAAGTTCCTGGCATTGTGGTTTGTTTTTTCTCACTTGGAATGAACAGGTAGCAGCAAAGTAAGAGCCGATAGCTGTTAACAGCATTTTTCAAAAATGTGCCATCACTGGAAGTTTTCTGCCTTGTTTAAAATTTTCCACAGTTCGGGGCATGATGTTCACCCCCTTCTCACACAGAACCAGCTGTGTCTTTATACTAATTGGCTGAACTAAACCCTGGGTTTAGGGGTTCTCCTTCCAAAAGAATTAAAATTAACTAAAGCATAGAATTGTTTTCTGAAGTAAACTTTAGGCTTAAATATACCTAGAGATATCTGGATTTGGCACTGTCAGGAAGATAGGAGAGTGGTATTTGCAGTTTTCATGCTCAAAGAAGCCTTAAATTATCAAGCAACGTGTTTTGGAGCAGCAAAACCAAGTTGCCCTCACTGCAACTGTGACAAAACACAACTTGGCAAAAAATAAATCAGTATTAGCTGAACTGGAATGTTGAGGGAAGGAGTGCAGCTCTCTGGAAGAGAGAAAATCCCAGGCCACTAAGTACTGGTAAACCTAATCCTCAGGCCTTGCCCCAAAACCTTCTCATGTATATTTTATTAGGTAGTATGTTTAGAGTAAATAGTCATTAAATACAAAAATAGGCTCTGTAGCAGAGAGGAAAACCAAGATTTTTGTGATCAAATTGTTGGTGTTAGATTGCAAAGCCCCGGGAGAGCTTTCTTGCTCTTCCCTACCCAGGAGATGTTGAGGCTTCTTTTGAAGTGGGGGAATCTTTGCCCTGTGGCTGTCTCTGGGCAGCTGTGGGTGATTCTGTGCTTTGCCCTCTGCCTGTTGTGAATCCCCTTGAGCTGCCAGCTCTGTGCCCAGCTCTCCACTGAAAGCCAGACTGTTCAGATTCAGGTTGGGGTGTCCTTTCTGCCTGGAAGTTCTGTGTGGTGCTGCCTTTCACAGGACTGAAACAGTTTTTCAGGGTTCCTCAGTCTGGTGTTTCAGGTGTCCCCAGCAGAGCCCTGGCTGCAGCTTGGCAGGGGAAGGGGTTTTCTCAAGATAGTCAGAGCTCTGGCTCCTGAGCACATGGGTTTGCTTGGTTGCCTGTGGTAGCCCTGACTGGCAGTGAAATTGCAGAGGAAGTTGGCCTCTAACCTTGCTTGGTGTCTCGCTGACCTGTTGGCATCCTGTTGGTTTATTTAGTTTTTTGTCTGTCTGGTGATCATTGACATAAGATGTGCTCTTCTGCTCACACACAAGAAGCCATTTCCTGGCAGTGGTTTACTGACTCATTTTATGAAGTGGGCATGTAAACTTTATGGGTTTGGGCAATATTGCTTAACTGTAGTCAGAGGTAGCTTTGGTTTTACACCCCCTGCCCATCCCTGCTATGTTGAAGAAAATAGTAATTAGATGTGTCTCAGTTGTCTTTAAAATCTAACAGATAACCCAGGATAATCAGAATGAAATTGGTTATGTTTGTATATCCATTTTACTTTTCCAAAATTACTTAACTGCAGTGGAAATGCAGCTCAAACCTCAGATGTAGAAATGAGCCAGTTATATTTCAGTTATGACAGAAGATCAGACTTTGTCTTTGGGATCTTTAGAGCAAGTTCTTAAATTGTCTTTTAATAAGACCAGCATCCATTTAAAGTTATGTTGTGTGTCACATGCTAACACTTTTTCATTTTCATGCTGGGTGGGTTTTTTACATCACTCTTGCCAGTGAGGAGATGAAAGTTCTAAAGATATCCCCATACAATATCCTAAACAAATGCTTTCACTTCTGCACAGGTGCAGCTCAGGTAGAATTTTAAGACTATTCTCTGCTTTAGGTTTGGGCATATATGTTTAAGAATTTGTTCCCTAATTTGTATACAGCCTTTCACTGTTCCTCTGAAGCATTATTAGAGTAAATAACAATCAGCAGGTTTCTTTTTATTGAGATTTTTTTTTATTTGGATAAAAGGCAGTGTGCATTATTTTATTCCTGAATATTCTCAGTCTGAAAAAAATGTAAAACTGGTCTGTGGGGTTGATGCAGTGTCTTTGATTTGCTTTGGACATCTATGAACATCTAATTTTCCAAGTCACTTCCAAATGCAGTCTTGTTAGTGTAAGACAGTCTCCTGGAAAGTGGAATTTATCACTTTGCAGAATGAGTCACATTGCAGTGACTTTGATTGCAGTGTTGTACTTCTTTTCTTTGCATCACCTCAAGTATTTTTGCAATACCTGCATACACTGAGAAACCCAAGATAATTCTGAGTTTCAGTTGCCTGATCTCAATAAAATACTGAGATTGATGTCTGTGTTTTGAAGCACTGTATTTTATCTCTCTCTGAAGAGTCCTTTGAGAAGAATCTGTAAGTTATACTAAATGTGACATTGAGCAAGCATAGCCCTATAAGTGATGGGTGGAAGTGGGAATAAAAGTTATATTAGGGACCCATCACTTTTTTCTTTCTTGTTGTTTTTATTTCTCCTTTCTTTGTCAGCTCAGTCTATAGTTAATATTTTATTTACTTGGTATCTACTTACCCTTGTCCTCTTTTTTTTTTAGGATCTTTATGCCAAAGCTGTGCCCAAGTTAGAAAAAGCTGTTGAGCATGGTAGAGGTAAATCAGTTTAGTTTTCTTAACTAGCAATTTTAAATGCAAGACTGTACTGTATCTTCAGTTTACAGGGAATTCCATTAAGAATCATTGTATGTGTAATCTCTAATGCATTTAAGACTAATTTATTTCCACTGTGTATCTGTTTGAATTTCTTTTGTGGGTCACTTATGACACTACATTTCTAAGAATTAAAATCTGAGACCAGCACTTATGTTTATCAATGTCACTAAAAGTTATGCAGGAAGAGAAGGGGAAAACCCCTCACAATTTATTTCCAGCCAGCAGTATTTGCTTGACCCAGCCTCCAGCAGTATTTGCTTGACCCAGCTTAGTAGATGAAACCTCCTGGAGAGTTTATTATTTGTTGCAAGCATTAGGTCTTTTGTTTGTAGTGTTTAGCCTTTTCATTTTGGTTTGCTTCCATGGATCTCCTAAGAATTTTGAATTAATCCAAAATAATTTTAATTTGTTTTTATTTTTGTGATCATCCTTTCACACTTGGGCTTACCAGGACTGAGGATGGATTCTATGTAGAGCTCATTTCAGATACTGCACCTCTTTTCTTTAAACTTAGCAGTTTCAGTCTTCTGAACTCATTAGCATGGAAGATTTTCCATAGTTTTCCATTCCCCCACCAGACTCCCATCTTAGAGTGCTCTTTGTTTTTGCTGTGTCTTTGCATTGTTCTCTGGTTTGGTTTTTGTACAGTATTTTACTGAAACTAGTTATTGTTAAAGTGTAACTGTGAAATTCCATTTTGCAAAGATTTTTATCACTAATTTGAAAAAGATACGATTGAGATGCAAAGAGCAAAACAAAACAGATGGCCCAGGAGCAAAGGCAAAGCTCCTGTGAAAATTGGTGAATGCAATACAATATTCAGTTTCATTCATGTGTCACTAGAGAAGAACTCAAAGGCTTTGAATTTTTTGCCAGCATATCTAAAATGAGCATGATAGTTAAATGTGTTTTGATAACTCTTTGTGTTTTGTAACAATTGCCAGCGTGTATTGATGATTCCTTATCACAAAAACACTTTCACATTACATTAAAGCACTTTGTTCTGGCTTCTTTTCAGAGGGCTATGAATTTCTCCAAAAACCTCCTGCTGGATTTTATCCAAGGCTTGGTGTGATAAGTTTTGCTGGAATTATTGGATTGTTTCTTGCTAGAGGTAAGTGGGAACCATTTGGACTGGTTAAGTTACAATTTTGGGTAAGTAATTTTTTGTGGGTTTTAGGGTACTAATTTTTAGTTGTGACAAGGAGATCTGAATTAACTGTTACAAGGATGTTTCTGCACTATTCCTTATAAAGAAACTGCATGGAAAAGGTGTTTAATAACCAACAATTATTATTTTATCATTGCTGTATTTGTTATTAAAATCTAGTCTTCCATTTTCCCCAGTAGTATTTTAGTATTACAAAAATGGCAAAGGACTGGCTTGGTATCTTTTAGCCTAAAAATATTTTTAATTATTGAAGTTCTTCATCACATCTGTTACTGTAGAAAACAACTGTGGAATGAGTTATGGTAAAATACAGATGTTCCTGAACTATGGTATGTGTCCAATCAGGGGTATATTCAAGTTTTTTCAAAGTATTCTGTGTTGACATGCAGGGATGCTGCAGATGGTGATTCATCTAACTCTGGGTGCACTGTAAATACCTGCACATTTTGCACTACAGAAAATTGATACAGTTAATTTCATCACACTTACTGAAAAATGTTCATGCTTTCATAAATAGAAGCATTAGTCTAAGAAATGTTAAGTGTGAAGAAGTATTTTGTGTTTACATTAATATATTCTTAATGCAGTGAAATGTAGGTAACAGAACTTTAAAGCTGTAGAATTTAAATACCAGTGGGGACATGATTTGAACAAAAATAAACCTTTGTGGGGCCTGAATGTGTTGCACTGGAAGTGTAGAAATTAGAAGTGCACCTCCAACTATTTAATTTTCCAGTGACACTGGTGGAGGCAGCACTTCACTTTTTTTCCTTGTGTATTTTTCTAATGAAATCAAGGTAACTTCCCTGTTTGAAGTTCTTCTTCTTTGTATTCCTGCTTCTCAAGCAGCATAATCATGAATGAGATCAGCTTCCATCATTTATGACTGTAGCAAAGTGAGGGGAGAGGGGGGAGTGCAGTCTTGGGACTGGAATTGAAAGATTAGAGGATCCTAAGTTTAATGAAAATACTTCATACTAAAAAATGTTACATTTGTGAATCTTTTAGGATGGGAGCCATACTTTTAAAACTTTTTTTTTTCTGGTAATAGTTTAAAATATGACTGTTATTTCCAGAACTTGTATATATTCAAACCACAGAAGGAAGTGCCCCTTAATTTTGATGCTACTGAAAGTCCTCTTTATTTTATTCTTCCTTTCCTTGGTCTTTGTGAAGAAATTGCCCTCATGGAAGGTACAGATAAAATCCTCCAGGTCTAATCATAGCACTGGAATATGCACAGCTGCTCACTAAGTAGAAAATACGGTATTCAAAGTTTAATCATGTGAATATTGTGCAGTCATCCAGCTTGGTTTCAAATGCCATTAGAGATAATTAGTTTTAACTCGTGTTGCAGATGGAGTGATGCACTTCACTTGCAAGAGAGCAGCAGCAATGTGATTATTGATGCAAAGCAATGGTTTGAAAGGATTTGATGGTAACTTGATCAGTTTCTGCATAGAGGACAGGGTCAGACAGGCCTGTCTGGGGAGGATCCTCCTCTTGAGTCAGCATTCAGAGGCTTTCCTTATAGACTCCTACTCAGAGGAGACTGGATATGTCCAGTCCTAGTCCCAGACTTGGTCAGCAGTTCATGTCCAAAGGAATTTATGTGCACAACCAATCTAAGATATGATCTTAGTGAGGCTTAAAAAGTTTAGCAAACTATTAGGGGGGCCCCTGCTGATCAGAGTGATTATGTTTCTTAAGGAACTGGTAGGATGGAAGAGAAAATACACTAAAATGTATTTAAGAAAATTGTTTATAAATAAAATAGGGGCATTCAGCTGACTTGGCTAACATATACTCTATCAATAGTTTGTGGTTTTTGATTTTTTGTTACAAAACAGGCTCAAAAATAAAGAAGTTGGTGTATCCTGCAGCTCTCATGGGTATGGGTACCTCCATGTATTACCCTCAGGAAGCAGTTGCTATTGCAAAGGTCAGTGATGATTCCTTTCTTTGCAGAAGTGTTTCTTTGTTGCCTCCTAGCTTCAGATTAACTGGTCATCCATGTTTAAAAGCCATGTCAGTGGCAATTAACAATATTACTGTTAATTTGTCAAAGCAGATGCAGTCTGGGCTGAAAGATAATCAGACTTGTTCCTTTTAGTGACTTTTTTTCCTAACCTCTGCAGTAGTGTCTTCAGTTAGAGGAATGTAATTTCCTTTCAAAACCTCTAACCTCATGTAACACTAAATTAACATAAATATGCTGAGTACAGTTTGTGTGCTTACTTACAATACTAAGGAAACATGAAATATCTTGTGAGCAAATGAAAACTTTGAAAGAAAAAAAAGGAGTTTCTGTAGACAAGTCATCATAACATTTTGAGATAAATGTTATTGACATTTTCTGCCTTTTTTTTGTTGGGGCTTTAAGAAAGCTAGCATGCACATTCTGGAACAGGGTGAGAATTCTGCTGCAAACTTACTGGATGCCTTCCCTATTTATGGATTTGTTGTTTCAGGCACACAAGAAACATGTTAACTTGCAGTTGCTGAAATGAGTTCCTGTTAGAGACAGAACTCAGGAGATCACAGAATTGCTTACGGCCCTTACTGATGTTAGATCATGTGCCCTGCTCGCCACACTTAGTGCTGGCACATTCCTCAGTTCCCCACCACACTGTGTTTCATATCCAGCCCTTAACCACTCCCAGTGCACATACTTGCATCTTTCACAAATTCTTTCTATTTCAGCCTTTGGTAAATTTGCCATCTAGTTGCTGGCCACTTGTGAATGGCCCTGAGATGTCAGAATGGTGTATGATATTCTCAAGAACATATCATGTTCTTTAAAAACTGAAAGGTCATTGACTTAGGGAGAGTCAAAACTGCTGAGTTTGAGCACTGCCAGCATGGTGGTACTCTGATCTTTGGTGGAATCTTTTTTTACTGCTTCCAGGATTCAGATGCTCTAAATACAGATAATTCTCTTGGCTTATTCTCAGACAGTGAAAATTATGCAAGTGGCAGGAAAAAGACCCATCAAAATTTAAGAAGCTTAGACATTTCTGTTGGAAACTGTGTATTAAAATTCTGCTTGCCTTCTGAACAGTGAAGTGGGAAGTGATTGAACGCTGTTCAAACTGATGTTACTGTTTTTAAAGGAGCTCAGTTCGGGCTTAACTGTGGATTTGGTGCTAACAGCTTCACAATACCTAGTTTATTTTATGAGAACTTTGAAGTGCATGGTTGCTCTTTGATTAATTCACAGTTCTTAGTTTGGCTGTAATGAAAAATCTGATAGGAGATTGGAATGGGTTTAGTTTGTTGACTTGGTCAGGACAGTAGTCCTGAATTTGGAACCTTCTGTGGGGACAGTAATATCCTAGATACTGTTTTGGTTCCTCTAATCTATCTTGTGCTTTCTTTTCTTAAAAAAGCAAAGTTTTAAGCATATCATATCTTACCATCCATAATTTTTAATCTTTAATCTGAAATTGGAAACACTTTCCTGTCTATTAATTATTTTTAAATGCTTCATAAGCCTTTCAAAAATGTCTGTAAAGCTAGAAAGGAATGCCTGCAGTACAAAGCTCACTTGCTAAGTTCATGAAACAATGTAGAAAATATTCTGTAACATAAATTTAAATTATTTTTTATATTATATTCTTTTTATTTTTCTTCCACACTTAAGTACTTCATCATTGCTTTTTCTTTTACACTTGTATAATTCCCTTCACGGATATTGTGTTGTTTTTGTTTTTTTTAAGTTGTGGGGGTTTTGTTTCTGTCCCACTTTTATTTCAGACTTTCTAGTGGAGAGTTGGAAATAAACACAGCAAAGGGTATTTGTAATTGAGGCCCAACCCTTAATTCATCTTAGGTAAAAATTTTTCTTTAATTAAGATGTATGAATTCCTAAGTGAAGTTGTAGCAACAGAGCTCATCGTTGATAACAGGGAGTTTTCAGACCCTAATCATCTAATTGAAGATGGAAGAAATTCATAGACTATTATTTTTTCCCTGCTTTAGGAAATAATCTAATAAATAATAGATCACATTTTAATAAATCACAAATTTGTAAGGGATTTATTTCCTCACTGCCAGTATTACTATATTTTTAATAACTTTGAACAAAAGGTCAGACTGTATATGTGGTAGGAAACTGAATTTAATACTAAAGCTTATTTTATTCTGGTGGAACCCTACTTAGTGTTTTGAAATGTTATTGCTTTCCAGCTAATCATAATATACTCAAAATACTTTGTATTTACTGTGGCTTATATTCCATCTGGAATGAACTTTCCATTATGCAGTTATTTAAATAACTCTATAATTGGAATTAAATTTTGTCCTTTGTTATTAGAACCTTTCAATTTTACTAAAGTACTGTGTGTAATGCTTTCATTCTTCTAGAGAGAAAGAAAAGCTTCCCAATAGAGCTTTGTTTCTTTGACAGCAAACCACATTATTTCTGTGTCTTTTGAACCTGTACCTTGTCCCTTGCTGGGTTCAGTCTGTGAGGCATAAACAGCTGTGCTGAGAGCAGGACAGGGCTCCAGGAGCTGTGAGCTGGAAAGCAGGACCTGGGGTCCCTTCATCCATGGTGGCTGCTGGATGCTCCTGAAATGGCATTTTGTAAGTGCAGGAAAACCAGTGCACTCTCAGTTTGCAGTTTCAGTATATAGATAAAGAATTGCTAATCAAGGCTCTGAATTGTGATTCTGTGTGACACCAGTGTGGTCAGCAATGCATGCTCAGGGTGCTGTGTGCCACCTTAGGCCTTGGAGAGCACTGGTGCCCCCCCAGGAGTGCCCAGAGTGGGTGTTGGTGGCCCATGGCCACCTCAAACTTTCAGAATCCCTGTTGAGAGCCACTCAATCTGACTTTTGAACTTGTTTGTTCAAACTTCAGCATACAAACCCACTCACTGTGCTGCATTCAGCAGCAGTGGTATTTTAGCATGTTGACCTTGCAGCTTGCACTTCCAGTCTGCCTAGAACTGCATTTTCCAGCTGTGGAAGTGTCTGTGGGTCCTGGCTCTTGGGGGTTTGTGCCATGGTGAAACACTGGTTGGTTTTGGCAGACTGAACTGTCTGGGTTGCTGTACCTTGTGATGGAGCTACTTAATCCAGCAGCATGAATGACCAGTTTCTCATCTAATGCAATTCATAAATCACTTGGTCATGTGACTCCTTATATGACTATAAGAATATTTTTAAGTTTGTACTGTTGGGCATTTAGTGTGGTTTTAAATATTTTAATGGAGTATTTTTAAGCAGAAACAAAAATACAGCTTAAGGACAGTTGTTTTTTCTCATTTTATGTTGGAAGCTGTGTCTTCAGTGATATTGCAGACAAAACCAGCCCTTTGTTTATTGTCAATATTTTTCAAATTTTTTCAGTGGTAGGTTTGTACTGTTTGCACAAGAGACCACCATTTTTTCAGATGAGCCAGCTGGTTTGTTGAACTGCTAGATGCTACAGAATGAACACTTATGATACTGAAAACCAAAATAACTGTCTATACTTAAAATATTTAAATTGGGCAGTTTTGGAGATTTAACAGGATCACTTGATGTGCTTTTTTCTGATGACTCTTATCATTTTCAGCTATAGAGAAAACTGAGTGCATCCAATGGACTTGTTTAAACCAAAATAATTGGTTAGATATGGTGACAAAAAGGTACTTTGTATTTAAAACATTTTGGATGTAGTTGTGACTTGGAAGTGTAGTTGCTGATTTGGGTTTGTTTTCTTTTAATTCTGGTTATTCAATAGGCTCCTTTGTAAGGCAGCCAGCACGTGGTGTCTGCCCAGCAGCACATCCTTGTGCCATTGTGCAGGAGCTGCTGTAATCAGCCTTGCTGATTGCACATCAGACAAACGAGGGGAAGTGGCTCCTCACACCACGTGTACCCAGCAGCAGAACCACTTGGCACAGGGATGCTGAAAATCTGCACTTCCCCTTGAACTCCAAAAAAAGTTCATAGAAGGGAAATTTCTTGGGCCTCTTGACACACATAAAAATCACTTCTGGCTCAGGAAGTCTTTGAACTGTCTCTGAATTGATGGAGACTGGAAGAAACTGAAAAATGTAGTTCAGAAACATCAGAAAATTGTTTCAGAAACATTTACACTTGCCCTATTCTCAGAGTTTACATTTTGTGGCTTTGCCTGCTGTAGGAGATAGGGAAATACCTTCTTAGTTCTTGATTTCATAAGCTTTTTTAGTTTAATAGCTGTTTAGTTGGACAAATTGTCCTTTTTGCTGTTCCTCTTACAGAAACAGTGATATGAAAGTCAGTATAGACCTGAGCCTGGCTATAATAACCTAACACTCTTTAGTTTTGAAGGGTGCTATAAATACTACAATTCCATGTACATAAGGGACAAGGGATACTGTTTTATTGGACTTTGGGCCTTTCCCTGTCATAAAATACTTGTTGGTGTAATAGAGCAAACAGTCTTTCCTAGCTGTGTACTGTTTTGGGAGTTGACAGCTGATTATTCATAACATTCATCTATCAGCAAATTCTAAAAAAATGAGAATAAAATTTAAAATTGCAAAACAATGACAACCCTTAGAAGAGTCTTTGAAAATGAGTCTGGTCAAATTAAGAAATACTTTGCCTATGTTAATTATGTTGAATGTCAAATACTAAGAAAACAGGGATTATTTCCACACAGAAGCATTCCACTCCTGTTTGTACAGATGTATATTCTTAGGTTTTTAGCACATGATTTTTTCTTATTCCTCATGGGACATTATTTTCCAAGATGTTTATTAATTCTGTACATTGTGAGCTTGAGCAGGAAGAGTTAAACATCTTGTGTTATGAGACTTTTTCCACTTAAATAAGAAGCAAGGCAATATTCCCCAGATTATTAAGTTCATACTTTCTAAAAACTTTTGTTTCAAAGGTTGCTGGCACACAGCTGTATGACTGGAGTCTTCAAGGATATATTGCTGTAGAAGCTCTTTGGAAGGATACTCCTAAGAAGAAGAAATCAGGGGAAAAAGGTGATAAGGTAAGAAGACTGAGGAACTTGATTTCTGAATTTACCACTGTCTTTTCAGAAAAAAAAACCTTATGAACAACAGTGGTTTTGTTCCACTGTGACTTGGCCTTTATTTCTGAAGAGAAATTTTTCATTCTCTCTTTCTAAGCTGTGGAAAAACATTAGGCTTACTTCAAGCTAAACTTTCAGAAATCCTGTTTGGAAGCTTCCTTTAGTATAATCAGATACAGATAAGCAAACAGAATTCTAAGAAATATATGTACATGGCTCAGTGAAGCATAGTGTGAGAGACTGGAAAACTGAGCAAGTTTATTAAATGTGTGCCAAAGAAAGCCTGTAAGGTTTTAAGGTGTTTTTTTTTAGCTGCTGCTTAAAGAAAGAAAAGTTCATGTGTGTTATGTAAAGCTTCTGTTGTTTTAAAGTCACTTCTAAACTCAGTGTGACTGGGAGAGAGGTGTGTTGGAGACAAAATTGCACTTGGATGGACCTCAGGGATGGGACCAAGTTCCCTTGCTGAGGCTGGGTGTAGGACTAGTTCCAAACAAGCTGGGCTGGGGAAATGTTCACATGTGCTGGCAGCTGCTGAGTCTCCTGGGAGTGAAGACTTTAATCAGTGGATACTCACCCTGTACTGGCCCAAGGCACTTCAGTAAATGAACTTGAATAAACAAAGGGTGGTTAATTGTCCTGTAGCTTTCCTAAAACCTAGGCTCTCAAAAAGAAACTCAAAAAAGAGGGAATATTAAAATATTTCAGAAAGACAAACTGACAGCATTAGTAAAAAAAGCTGAAGTTTTTCTTTTATTGTGTCCCAGGCTTTCAAAAGGGAACACGTGGTTGTTATTGGAAGGCAAAAACTTTTGACACTTCCATTTTGCTATAAGGCTTATTCAAGCACTTGCTACCTCAGCAGAAAAACAAACAGCCTGCAGAATTTCAGACCACTAAGTAAACACACTTCCTTCTCTTCCTCCTTGCAGAACCTTTAGATCACACCCCTTAGTTGCCAAAACATGTTACTTGAACAAAAGAGCAAAATGCTTATGGATGGGTGTTCTGCAAAAGTTCATCTCATTGTTCAGGTGCTGTCTGTGAGCTGCTGCTGCTGTGATGGATTAGACAAGGCCCAAACCCCTGTGACTCAAATGAAGAAGCAGAACTTGGTCACTTGATGGAACATTTCCCATTACCACTGAGGCAAGCAGCCCTGCTGGGGCTGTGTCCTCAGAGTTCCTCAGGAGAGGCTCCTGTCTCCCTGCTGTGCAGAGAGGCTGAGCAGCAGCTGTCAGGAGTCTCATGCCTTTGTCTAGAAGGGGGAATGAGAAGTGATTCTGATGGAAGAAGTTTGTCCTGAAGCTTCCTTTGGCCAGGGTTGGTGAAACCATACAAAACACACAGTTGGGAATCTGGGTGGGTAGAGATGGGTTTGGTTTAGGTTTGTTTCATGTGGAAATAATCATACAGATTATCAGCCAAATATATACCACCAAATAGATACCACCAAATCAGTATCAATTTTTCAAGCAGAAGAATTTCTGTTTAAGTTCCATTTTTTTATTGGAGGCTTTTACTCATACAGAAGTGTCATGGAAGAAAATGCTTTTAACTATCATATACTAAAACTGGCAAAGCATTGTAGGATAGATTCTGTGTCTTCTGTTTTAATTTGACAACCTTGTGGAAGAATTTGGTTGCTTTTGTACGTGTATTTCTTATTGTCATTCTAAGCAGCTAGATTCCTGAACTAGTGAAGACAGGTCTAAATGTGACTCTTGAGTTGTTGTTGCAGCAGATGTAACCCATTTCATGAAGCTATGCCAGAGCAAAAGACATTCTTTTTGTTTTTGTGACATTTACTCCAGCATTTTCCTGTTGCTACATAAAGGATTCTTGCAAATAGTCAAGCAGTATTTGGGTGGCTCTTCTTGGCTTCTGTTAATTTGTTACGTTGCTCATAATTTGTTTGATAGTCATAGGTACCACAGCTGTGCATAACTTCATGTTTGTGCAGCAATATGTCATTAAAATAAATGTGGTATGTTAATTTGCTGAAGGTTTTATGAAACAAATTCCTGTGCCAGATTGAGGTCATATCAACTGAATTCTGAGTTCTGCCAAGAAGGATGAATTCTGGGACCTTCTGTGCCTCCATTTCAAAACACTGTGGCTGCAGCCCCTCCACAGAGCAAGTCAGGCAGATAAATGTTTTTAATGTGCTGTTGAAGGATGGAGCTCTTCAGGATGTCAGGATAAAATCTCTCTGCTAGAACTGAAGCACAGAGAAAAATAATTTTCTTCTCTTAGTTCTCACTTTGTCTTGTCTCCATACCATTCAAAGACTTTTGCTGTATTTTTAACAATTTTGGATTCTCTCTCTTCCAGCAGTACTGAATTGGGCACCCCTTATTTTTAGTGAAGAGGCCAAATTGTGTAAAAGCAGAACAGCGCTACAGCTCTGAGTACATCCTTCTTTCAGCCCTTGTTCCTTTCTTCTTGTGTTTGCTCTTTCCCACTTTGGCCCATCTGTTAATGAGATCTCACAGAAAACTAATTTCCCTCTCAGCTTCAGAGGCTGAGAAACTTTTATGGCATATTATTTGGTTTGCATTCCTGACTGGTGTGCTGATGGACACCACCAGTGACTTAGCAGTACATGATACATACAGTTTTTCAACCCATATGTTTTTATTACACATGTAAACTATATAAATATATTTTATATTAATATATACATATATTTAAAATGTATCTCTATGGCAGTCTCTGGGTATTTTATTAAGTGCTGGCTGGTTACAAAATGTCTCCAGGTGCAAAGAGGGCTCAGCTTTGGCTGATTTCTTGTACTTGCTTAAAACAAGTGTCAAGGAAATTGTGGACCAGAACCTTCCTCACCTGAAAGCTCTGTTGAAAATTGTGGTGTCAGTGTTTTGACTGAGGAGCCTCACCATCAGCATCACAGATTGTGACCATAACAAACCTTAAATTGTCTTTTAAGAGAGTTTTGAAGTCCCATGCATTTTGGTCATCTTTTAAAACAACATAAGCAGCTGAGGGGGCTTCTTCTACAGAAAATGCTTGTTAGGCTTGGCTTTGGTGGGTTCTGAACAGGCAGGCAAAAGTTTGGTCATCGCAGCTAAAAGATAAACTTCTACTTCTGGCAAAAATGCTGTTTCCTGTCACATGCCCTCCTGTTATTGTTTGGTAGTAGGAATAAAAACAATATGAAACTTGTAAGAAATACAAATTTCTTTTGGAGTGGATCCTTAGTCTGGGCAGTGGGGAATTTAGATGTGCTAGAAGTGGATGCACAGAAAGAATGTACTCTGCAAAAAGTTGATCTCTCTAAGGTTAGCTTAGAGCAACATTTTTGAAAGTACTTCATATTTTTGTGAAAATTAACTTCAAGGTCAACTTAAGTAAAAGAAGGTGTTGTTACTGATTGACTGGGGGAGGATGAATAAGGTAAGGCAGTGATGTTCTCTTTTTTCCAAGCAATACATTGCAAACCAAAGAGGACAGAAGGTAAATTATTAATCTGTGAGCCCAGGTGAGCCTTTGTTTTTCTTTTGCAGCTTGCAGCTGTGTTGTTTTTTGGGTTTTTTTCTAGTGGCCAGACTTTCCCTCTCAAGAGTTTCCATAAGCATAAAAGATACACACCTATCTTACATACTTTTGAAGTTGTAATTTCTAAGATTAGTGTAAAAGGCTCTGGCCATCTGCAGGACTTCTGAGGTAGCAACAGAAACTTGTGCACCTGGTTCAACTGTAATGCAAGGGAAGGAGGCACCTCACATTTGGGGGTTTGACATTAGCTGGTTTGCTTTGGGGGCTTTTTCTTTGTATGGAAGGAAAATTTTCAGAGTAATTGTGGGTTTTTTGTGAAGTTTGTTGTTTAAAGTTTAGGTCTCAGTGTATCTCTGTTAGATGCTGTGTGAGCTAAGTTGGGGTGGTTTTGAATCACTCATGTGCTGAAACTGTACAGTCCCCTTAGTACCAGTGTTATTTCCAGTTTCAAATAATGATTCCTTTCTTTTTACTCCCAAGGAATCCCTATTTATTGAATATTTGATAATAAATGTATTATGGAGATGTCTTATCAGTCACCTTTCACTTGAAACAGACAGAAACACAAGAATGCAAAATATTTCCTCTTCTGCTGTGGAATAGAGCTCTGATGTGTGACCTCCTGTGGCCACCCAGATTTGTTATGGAGTGGTTGTGTGGAGCCAGAAAGCAGAAAGATTCTCTTGAATATGTGCCTGCTTCTGACTATGAGAGGGTACCCTGGCACAGAGGAAGTCTGTCTTCTGAGTCATTGATCTAAACACATTTTGTGCTTCTGACCTGGTTTTGAGTGTGCTGGAGGACTTTGGCACTTTTTTCTGAAATGATGTGCCTGTGCCACAGAAAGTCCTTTTCTGGCTAACTCACATTACTGCTCAAGCTCACTGTGTACACTGTGGGCATATACAGTGGTTGGAGTTAAAAACTTCTTAATTGCTAATTCAGCAAATGACTTGGTGTGAGGAATGACAGTCTGTCAGTGGATTGGCTTGAATTAAATAACTCAGGTTAACAGTTACACTGAAGGCAAGCCCTGTGATGAGATCTCCTCAGCTCATACAAACAAAGGAATTTAGCAAGACAGCTCTTCCCTTGTGCATGTGTGTGTGTTGCTTTAGATTGTTTTCCTCTTTGAGGACATTAAAAAAAAAAAAGCTTACCTAGACAATAATTACTCTTTACAAGTTAAAACAAGAAACTGGAAAAACACAGCCTTCTCTGTGAGGAGCTTATTTTTAGTTCATTTGTTCAGGATTGAGTAAACCCTGAGATGAGGCATCCTTAGTCAGATTATTCATTGTAAATTATAGTAAAATGTCATAACTTAAAAGTTCCTGTACAGGCAAATTACAGGGTAGATTATTATTTTGAAATGAGTGTAGTTTGTTGATGTGATTTCCCCTACTATGAAATATCCAGAATAGTAATCAAAACAAAATGGATTTTTGAAAGAAATTATTAATTACCTTTTAAATGTCTTGCTAGGCATTTTTTGAATAAGATATTTAAGAAATACCTTCATAATTGAATCTTGATGTATTGAGTCCATATCTCCAGCACAGCATATGCAGGATTGCACAGACTTGGTGCCTTATCATGTTTAACTGGTAATATATATATAAATTTGACCCATTCTTTGAAACATTTTCCAGTCTCTTCTAGCTTCCTTTGCTACATTTCCCATCATATTTAGTATTGCAGAATCACAGAATAGTTAGGGATGGAAAGGATCTTAAAGATAATCTAGTTCCAACCCCCTGCAGGAGCAGCTTCCACAAGATCAGGTTTCTCAGAGCCCCATCCATCCTGGTCTTGAACACTTCCAGGGATGGGGCATCAGCAGCTTCTCTGGACAACCTGTTCCAGGGCCTCATCACCCTCACAGCAAAGAATTTCTTCCTGATATGGAATCTAAACCTGCTCTCTTCCAGTTTGAAGGCATTCCCCCTTGTCTGTCACTACAGGCCCTTCTGAGAAGTCCCTCTCCAGCTCTCTTGTGGCCCCCTTAAGGCACTGGAAAGCTGCTAGAAGTTTTCCCAAAGCCTGCTCTTTTCCAGGCTGAACAATCCCAGCTCTCTCAGCCTGTCTCTGTAGAAGAGGTGCTCCAGCCCTCTGATGATCCCCTGGCCTCCACTGGAGTTGCTCCAACAAGTCCCCATCCTTGTGATGTCCCAGGCCCCAGAGCTGGACACAGCACTCCTGGTGTGCTTCCAGGAGCAAAGCAGACCTGCTGCCCACACTGCTTTGGAAGCAGCCCAGGATGTGGTTGGTTTCTGGGCTGCAAGTGCATAGTGCTGGGTCACGTTGAGGTTTTTATCAATCAGCAACCCCAAATCCTCCTCCCCAGGGCTGTCCTCAGTCCATTTTCTGCCCATCCTGTGTTTGTGCTTGGGATTGTCCTGACCCAGGTGCAGGACCCTGCACTTGGCCTTGCTGAACTTCATGAGGTTCACACGGGCCCATGTTTGAAGCCTGTAAATCCCTGTGGATGATGACATCCCTTCCCTGCAGCATCTTGAGCAGCACACAGCTGGGGATTGTTGGCAGACTTGCTGAGGGTCCCAGGGTCCCTGCTGCTGGCAGAGGTGTCAGTGCCAGTCCCAGCAGTGACCCCTGAGGAGCACCACTTGCAGGGGGATAGAACTGAGGAAAAGATAGTGTAGAAAGTAATCTTACCCCTAAGGAGTTGCAGCTGGGCCAATCATCAATGATTAGGAGCAGGGCTGACCTTACCAGGCCACAGCTGTAACCAAGGAGAAGAAGATGCTATAAAAGAGTGGGGTGGCTGGGTGAGAAGGGACTGGAGTCAGTGGCTGCTTTGTGAAGGAGAAAGAGTCAGTGCTCTGAGGAGCTGCCCACGAGACAATATCAAGAAGATATGGAACTTTTGCAATAAGGAGACAACAGTATGGAACCTCTGCAATAAGATGGCACCACCACTTGTCTCTGGTCTCTCTCAGGCATTAGAGTGACGTCTGCAGCTCTGGGTGTGACCATCCAGCCAATTCCTTATCCACTGAGTGCTCCATCTATCAGATCAATGTCTCTGCAGCTCAGAGACAAGGCTGTCCTGCAGAGACAGTGTCAAGCACTTGGCACAAGTCACAGATGACATCAGTCACTCTCCCTTGTCCACCACTGCTGGAACCCTGTTACAAAAGGCCACCACATTTGTCAGGCACACTTTGCCATTAGTGAAGCTGTGTTGGCTGTCACCAATCATCTCTTTAATTAAGTCATGTTGTTAAAAATAACCTTCTAGAACAAAGAGGAAATGCCATTTAATTTCCATGTGTAGAATTTAATAACAATTGAGGGTGGGTGCCACCTCTGATTATTTCACCCAAACCCCTGTTCAGAGCAGAGGCAGTTTCAAAATTAGATTTGGTGGTTCAGGCCTTATGTAATCACGTGCTGAGTATTTCCTGGGGTGGAGATTTAGAAAGTTGTCAGGAAAACCTGCTCCAATGATCAGTACTGTGATACATTTATAATTTTTTGCCCTTTGAAGTAAGAGAAATCTGCCATGCTCCTCTGTCCTTTTCTCCCTGTCCTTTAGATGTGAACCTCTGAGAAGGACATGGCTCTTCCAAACATGTAAATGCCCATTAGGAAATTGTGGATTGGAATTAGGGTCCCCCTTTGTGTGGTCCTCACCAGTGTGAACAGATCCTCATCTCAGCTGGTCCTGCTATGTGCTTCAGTCCCCAAGCCATGTGTGTGGCCCTTTAAGTATTTTTAAATGGATACCTATTTAAAGCTGTAATCAAATGCATGTTTGTTATAGCATCTTGGCAAATGGATAGACCAGACCCTGTAACAAGCTTCTCTTCATTCTTTGATTTCTGTCATTAATGTTGGGGAAAGTGTGAGAACACCCTCTAAAAGGGTATGTGCTAAAAGGGATCTATTGTATAAATCCACACAGAATTCAGAGAATGCAAAATAGCAACTACTCTATGGGTATTCATCCTCTGTTATTAATACAGGCAAAATGATTCAATTAAAGCACTTCTGTTGAAAATACTTGTTCTTTCAAACCCTTTAATTGCTTGGCTAGCTACAGGAAGACTGAAGTCTAGAAAGTGTTTGGTAGAAGATCATATTTGAGTGTATTATACTGAATTAGTCTCATGAAGCACTTGATTTTGTGAGATATTTTTGTTTCAGCTTTTGAAGAGGGTTTCTCTTCTGGTAAAAACATTAATCATGGATTGCCTCAATTGAAATGTTGTGCATATTTTTTTTTCCTCAAGGGTGATGCAGTGGGTGACAAGCCCCTGGAAGTCCATGCTGCTTCAAATAAAGAGCAGACCCAGAAGTAGAATGCTACATCACCTGGCATCAGACAGGTAAAGGATAAAGACTGGTAAGAGTTTGTGGCTGAGCAGCAGAGAAACTGAGAAAAGCTAAACACTTTCAAGTTTGACTTGTAGTTTTCTTCATAATGATTAGGAGAGTGCAGACAGATAATTTTATTTGTCCTAAAATTTGTCAAGAATATATGCACTCCCTAACAATATTCAAGTTAAGAAATCTAAATTCTTCATCTTTAGAGCATAAGAAGTAAATACATGTGTGTTTGAAGGGTTCTGAATTGATTGAGGAAAGCCTTGTCTTTGTGGTGTTGGTTGGTTTTGGCCTTTTATTTTCTTTTTTGTCTTCCCATTTCTGCCTTCCCTACCAGAAACCTCTGCCTTTTTTGTCATGCTTGCACAAGTATTAGGGTGGGGAAAGAAACCTCTTCCCTGCTGATAAATTTTCCCTAAAGATTTGTGAGTGCCAGGGTACAGCAATGCCTTACAGCCTGTAAAAGTCCATGATGTGCCTGACCTTTCATGTTAATGCAGCTCCCAAATGAGTCCTGTTGGGAGCAGAAGATGGAGGAAATGAAGGCAGCATTTTCCAGGCTCTCCAAGGCAGAAACTCGAGTTGAGATACCAGTTCTGACTTGGCCTCAGGGCTGTGATCTAAACTCAAGCAAGTCCTATGGTTACAGTTTCTAGAAAAGCAAAACAGAAACATCCTCTTGACATTTTGTGATGGTTTGATTTCATAGGATAAAAATTGCTCTGTATTTGAGGCTTATTACAAATAATTATAACATAATTGGACATAATTTAGCACAAAATGTCAGATGTCTGCTCTGTTATCAGTTGATAAAGAATGTCTCTTCTGAGCGTGTTTTCTTCTTGCTTCTCTTTGCCCTATATTATTGTTGCATCATGTTAAAAACTTATTTTTCATCAGAAAGTGATCCTGGCATTATAGGTACTCCTCACCATTTTTGTGTGCAGTATTGCCTTTACCAGAATAATATTTTTTTTTTTCCTTGCTGCCAACCTGTGTAAATAGAGTCCAGATCTGGCAAACCGCATCAGTTTTTTTTCCATGCCCCAGCATCAGTCACACATGTTTGCAGATGTGGTGGAATCACCCATCTGCTGAGCAGCAGTGTTCCACTGCCTCATGGGCAGCTTTAAAAGAAAACCTGGTTTTTAATGTTAAAGTGTTTTAATTGTTATTGCTAATTTTCACAACAGCAATGTGAGCTTGTTGACTGGCTGATGTACTGAGTACCTTAGCTTTCCCTTTAGAGCTATGAATATAAAGTCTTTAAAAATACATGTTTTCCAAGTAATTTGTAAGATAGTAATTTAAAATAAAAACTAAAAAAATAATGGAAGGATTATTGAATATTTTTTTCTGTAAAGAATCCCAAGAGAACTGAGAGGAAGAAAAGCCTCTCTAAAATTCACTGAAATATTGTTGTGCTTCTTGTCAGCTAGGACAGAGCTAGTAAATTATAAAAACCCAAGAAAACTGAACTTTTGTTTGTGACACTGCACAAATATCAAGGTTCCAGAAATCCATAAATAGGTTTTATTTTCTTTTAGAATTTCTTGCTATGAATAGAATTTTTTTATTCACTTTTTGAAATGTCAGCCTTTTGCTTCAGGCACATTTTCCTTGTTTGAGGAAGGCTTTAAGAGAGTGAAGATAAATTGCCCAGGAGCTTGAAGAACCTGAGTGCTCCTGGTTTTGAAACCTCCATGCTTCACCTCACGTTGTTTCTGGAGGAGGCACATGAAGGGAACTGCTGCATTTGTGACCTAGGGCAAGCAGATGGTGAAAGTTCAATTCAGTATCGAGTTCAGCTGCGCTGCGGGGGTGGCAGTTTGTTACTTGTGCTTGAAATCAAATCCTGTCATTTAACTCCATACCCAAGTCCAGATGTTTTGTTGGATTTGGGTGATCCCAAAGGTTGGAGAACATTGCTGTGATCTTTGAAAAGACACATTTTTTATTTTGGATGAGATCAGTCCTAAAAATCTCACTGCATTTTCAACTGTTGGGAATATTCCTAGTTGAATGTGGTTACTAAAATAAAGACAATGTCATTTCCTCCATGATTTGCCACAGCATGGGTCTCTGAACTGTGAATGGTCAGCCAAGGACAAAATCATATTGGGTTGAAGACAACAACATATTTCTCTGTTCCAAAAACCGGCAGCACTGCACCTCTTTTATTATAGTTTTTCATCAGAAATTATATGCAAACTTCAGCTCAAACCACATCCCACTGTGGAAGAAAAAAACTTTAATTTTATCCAGCTGTTGTATTTGGGAGTTGCACAGAAGTGACAGGGTTTTGTGTTTTTCCATGAAGATGGCATATCTCATTTTTACTCTGTTCCAGATCTATATATATGTAATTCCAGTTCTTTGAGTTAAATTGCCCTAGTCTTGTTCCAGAGTAAATAAGATTGAGAAAACATGCATTTGATGGGAATTTAAAAGAATTATTTTTGAAAAAGTTGGTTTATTGTACAAGATTCCAGTTGGTGTTTGGTTTGAAGTGTTCTCTTTTGTCTTTCCATTTAGTTCAACTATGGGAATGGAGTCCTCTAGAACAGACATGATGTTTAGTGCTCTAATATCAGTAATATGAAGAGTTAAATATCTCTCCTGCAAGCAAATTGGTGTTGAGAATGTTCCTCAAACAGATTTTTTCAACTTGCCACATCAAAGAAAAAAGTTTTGATTACACTGTAAAAATGAAAGGGCCTGTGATAAATTTAATTCTGCTTTCTCCCTCCATTCCTCTCCCCCTTAACCTCTGTCCCCTTTCTTTGGTTATAGGTGAATAAAAATATAGATATGAGCAACACTTTCCCAAGAAAAAGATGAAAACCACCTGAATCCATTTTGAATGTGACTGATCTGCCTTCTGCCTCAGGACAGTCTGGTGATCTGCTGCTCGGGCTGCTGCCATGGCTGCTGTGAAAGGACACCCCATGTGTTGGGTCAGTCCTGAGACTCTGTCCTCTGTTCTGCAGTGGCACTCAAGGCTGCCCATGCTTGTCCCATTGCAGGATCAACATTGCAAGTAGCAAGTCTCAAAATCCCTCAGTCTCTTTATTATTTATATATAAAATAAAATTCCAGTTACAGAAAATGTCTGGTTTTTCCCCTCCTCCTTTAAACTCACGGATGTGGTGTTGGCACAATCTGAGAGGTTCTCTGGGTGCTGTTGACAGTGCCTGTATTTGTTACCAGCGAGGAAAGCTGACAGTAGTAGGATGTTTTGGCTAACAGGAGCTCACAGAATTGGGAATGGGAACAATTACAATGCCTCTTGTGTTTTGTCTGAGTCCCCCCCTCCTTTCTATACACATCCTCTGCCTCATCAGTGCCAGCAGGAGGTGTGTAATGAAGCATCTGTGAGTTCCTGTCTGCCGGATGGATGGGAATGGAGCTGTTAATGCTTGTTCTTGTTTTTGCTTGAATGAGCAGCACAATGGGAACCAGAACGTTACTGTGGTGGGAACCAGCTATAGAATAACTTGGCTCTTTCCTTATTCCCACCCAGGGGAGGGGAGGAAAAAGTGATGTGGAGGGAAATGCAAAAGGATTTCCAGCATTTTGAAATCTTTGCACAATAAAACCCTTTCATCATTTGCTGTCATTTCCATGAGTCTCTCTTTTGGGGCTTGATGCATTACAAGTTACTGTAATCCAAGTGGCTCAGAGCATTTATAGCTGTGTTGGTGAACCTTAAATGCTCCTTAATTAATCAGTGAATATGAGGAATGGGGGAAGGATAACACGACATACGTGTTTGTGTGATACATTAACTTTCTAAAAAGAGCAGGGAAGAAAATGCAAAGTAAATCAGATTCAAAATGCTTCTAAACATCTTTGTTATTCCATGGTTAGGTATTCCTGTTATTGCATGGTTAGGTATTCCAGCTGAGCATATTCCACAGACTTCTAGAGAAAAACAAACAGACCTTGTCAGTGTGAATGCCAGTCTGTGTGGGCATTGTAAAACAGGCCAACTCTTTTTTAGTACGGGCAATAAGGCATGTGGTTGCCTTAGGCAGAAAAACATGTTCAGGGCATGTTTTTATGATTGTTTTAGGCTGCTAAAGATGTATGTTGATATAGGGAGCAGAGTTCTTGCATGGGGTTTGGGAGGTGTGTGTGTGTGGTTTTGTTTTTACTTGAAACTTGCCAAGATAGTTTAAGCGGGCTTGGGAGGATCAAAGTAGTGTTTTTCTCAGTAGTGGGAAGGAAACTTGGGAAATAGAGCAGTAAATGCTCTGTTACACCACTCCTGTGGTACAAGCATAGATTTGTTTCTGCCCTTAAGATAGTTCTCCACTTATGCATTCTCATATCACATAGAGAATATCTACCATAGAATTGGGAATACAGCTTTAGATGCCTCTGTTTTTTTCAGTTTAATATTATTTCAATATTTGGCATATGCCACATTAGCATTTAAGGATGTGATTACTTGGTAATTCAGTTCTTTGTTTACATATACACATGTGCATGTTTAATAGCTTGGGTTAAATAAATATCACTTAAATGCTTTTCACTTGATCAGGTCTTAATTCAGCATATTTACACTGCTGCTTAAAAATGCCCCAAGTGATTGACATCAAACAGGAATGCTTTTATCTAGCAGGAAATGTCTGCCTTCAGGCACCTGCATACACACATGATAAGGAGATGGTTCCAAAATGTGAGCAAGAGACAGCCTTAGCTGGAATCTTTTCCTTATGTCTACTGGGTTTTATAACTACAGGAAATAAAAAAAAAGTGTCATGCTGGTAAGAGCCCAAGAGTTTGTAAACATTGAACTCTCTTGGCCCAGACGTTCTTAATGAGGAGCAGGAGAGGAGCTGACCACTGCTGGTGTCTATAGATATCTATATGTGTGTGTGTGCATGGAACTAAATTGTGCATGCATGTGTTATCTTCTGCCAGACTTTGCCTGTGGGTATTGCAGTGTAGGCTAAAAATGGTATATTCCCCACCCAAGTGTCATGTTGGGTCATCCTTCCACTTGAAGCTTTTTGGCTTGGTAACTGGACTGTGTGCAGCTGAATCAGTGTTCTGATCTCAGCATCCTTGGCTGCACTGGCTGCAGCAGAGGTTGGGGCCAGGTTGCAGAGGTTGGGGCAGTGCTCTCTCTTAAAAACACCATCTTTAATTGCAGCATGTGAAAGTTGTAGCACTGGAGGTCATCAGGGTCAGAGGATGGCCCTGCATTGGGATGAGGATTCCTGTAGGCAGCATGTCTCATGTCAAAAGTGACAGTGAAGCCTCTCTGTTTGCTGGAAGGAGCATCTCCAGCCTGGAGTATTCCAGTAAGCCCAGGTAAATGTGCACAGTCTTGCAGCCTTCAGTAAACACACGGGATTTTGCCACAAATGTTCATTGCAAAACTCTGGTTCAAACTCAGTCCTCTGACTGCAGGAGGCCCCAGACAGACTTCACATCAGTCATAATTAAAATGTTTTGGAGCGTTTGTCATTGCATCTGCCACCTTCAAGGAGAGCAGTGAAGACCAAGATTGATGTGGAGGGAGTTGCATTTTACCCCATCAGAAGACAGTGCCCTGGGAGTTGAAGGGACTTGTTACTGCTGTTTATTGGCAGAAAAACCTCAGGGTGAGCACGTTTGCTTCCGGACAAATAGAAACTGCTGCATTTGGTTCTTTTCCCCTTGTTTTGTTTTGTTATGATTATTTCTGTACCTTCCTTTGAATTCTGAGCTACTTCTAAAGCCAGTTTTATCACAATAAACTGCTATTGACAAAGAGCATTTTGGTTTCCCACTGGACCTTCCTGGATGCAGCCTCTCACAGCGGTGTTGATGTTGCACCTGGGTGGCCTGGCAGCTGCCTAGGTTAACCCCCTTCCAGAGGGGTTTTGACAGGCACAAAAGCTTCTTGTTTACAAGGAAGACATTTGATAACAATATCTAAACTACAAAGCAGAAGTTGTTTAGTAGAAAAAAATATGTTCCTAATTGTGCAACAAGCCTCTGTCCTCTTAAGTCTGTACCATTAGCTGATTCTGGTATGTTTTGACCGGATATGGTTCTTAAGTTGACTGGAGCTGGCAGCTTCCTTAGTGTCCCTCTGGAGAAAATGTTGGTGTATTGATGCAATTGGAGTGTTTTCTCCTATTTCATGACAGTGAAATTCATCACTGGCTATCTCTGCCTAAAGATGAATGTCTAAGGTGGACTTGAAGTTCATGGATTCCTCCAGTGCTGCTCTCACAGCCTTACCCTTACCCTTTTTCTCCTTACCCTTTTTCTTTGTGTGTGTGTGTGCATTTAAAGGTCTCAATCTACCAAGCAACCCACAAAGCCAGTCAGTCTCATGTGCTGTGTCCTGCTGTGGCAGGTGAACTGGATGCAGTGCTCCATCCCCAGCCTTGGTTTCTGGGGCATGATCCTGTAGTGGATGAGCTTTGCTGGGTCTTCTGCAGGGAGGAGGATCCCAGCTGACTTTGCTTGCAGTGTGCCTGGGACACAGCCATGGCACAGCTGAGCTGTGCTTGTGATCCCGGAGCATTTGTGCCCACTGTGAAAGGAGCAGTGGGGACAACTGGACAGCCTGGTCAGGGAACTTCTCTTTTTGTTTATAGTGTGACTGTAAACATTCACAAGACTCAAGAATTTGATCCAGACTGAAGCTAAAGGGTGCACTTTAATGAGTGTCCAGCTCTTTCTCAGCAAAGCTAACCTGGAGTTGGTAAGAGAGCCCGTGAAGTGACAGCATGGGTCATTTGCTCCACCCTTTTTGGCTGGGGGCACAGAGGCAGTGGCAGGAAGGCTGTTGGTGCAGTCCTTTACCCACGGGGGCTGTGTGGACAAGTACTGGAGGGCTGTCAGAGAGCATCTCATCTTTTCCCAGGGGCTTGTGCAATGTGCATTGTAAGGGAGTAGTGAGTTCAGCCCCTGCGTGCCCGGATAAAAGAATAACCTCACAAGGAGAACTTAATTCTCTCTGCTTCGGCCGCTACAGTGTGAAACCACAGGACCCACCACGTCCCGTACCAAAACCTTCCAAAATCCGCTGTTCTGTGTCCCACTGCATCTGAACCTTCCATGTCTCTGTCTGGAGTACCTTCGTTCAACTCCAGGGCGCAGCACCCGTGCCTTTGGGGAAGTTCAGTCGGTTTCTCTGAACTGAAAGTGAGCCACAGGCCTGGCTGGGAGCGCTGAGGAGCCCCGGAGGAGCCCCGGAGCCTGCCGTGGCCCCGCTCCGCGGGCAGAGGAGGGAAGGAGCCCCGAGCAGGGCGATGCTCCCTCCCTGCCAGCTCTCATCTTCACCCCAGAGATGGAGGCGAGCTCTCACTGCCCCAGGGAAGGGGGGAATGCTGAAACACGAAGCCAGAAATGTCTCCGTGGCTGTATGCACGTACCAGCCAGCGATCCCAGGCAGCCAGCTGGAGACGGCTCTCACCACCACAGTTTTGGCCCCTTTAATTTATTTTTGTTATTGTTAAAAACGGTATACAGAAACATGGGGAGTTTGTGTATCAATCCTCAGTGAAAAGAGATTCTTCCCTTCCCCCCACCCCCTGCCCCAGATTAAGTTCACCAACGTCCTCTTTGTAAATTTAGCAAGCTTCGGACTCACTTCCTTTTGTCAGGAGACCTGAAAGAGCCATTTCCTGATTCGTACAGGGCTCTTGTATGCGCACACTAAGTGCTCATTCATGCCGTGAATCATAAAGGTAACCTCAGTTCAAAGCACTGCTCTGATACTTCGGCGTGGGACCAAAAGAAAAAAAAAAAAGAGAGAGAGAGGAAAAAAAAGAGTT